GCTTGGCGCTCGGGCTCCCGGGCGGGCTGGAGTGCAGGGTAGAGGGGAGCCCCTTTGGGGGCGGTGCTGAGCAGCTGCGTTGGCAGCGCGAGAGCCGGCACGGTCCCAGCGGAGCCATGTGGTACGTGAGCGACGTGTGGCAGCAGCCTCCGCTCAGACTATTCGGCGGCACAGGGGTTTCAGGGAGCGCCGCCTACTTTCGCCGTCGCAGCCCAACCTCTGCTTGAGGTATGCACCCCCGCGAGGCAGGGCCGCCCTTCTGCGCGGGTGCAGTGCGCACGTCCATGTCACGCCGTCGTGCTGGGGGCAGGCCCCGCGATCGCTGTTACGGGGCTTACAGTCAGGCAATCAACTGCAGGGCGCAATAGGATCTGGTTTTATGTGCTCTTCTACTAGGAGAGAGAAAGGCATGTTGAAAATATTGTAAATGGTGACTGAAAGAACCAAGATGCTTGGGTCCATTTGGGTCCTGCCGCCGGGGCTTTCCTGCCTCCTCCTCAAGCGCTGCCCGGGTTACAGATCTTGGGACTGGGTGTTGGGAGAGCAATGTTCAGGACAAGTCAAGGTTTCTAAGGGACTCGGGAAAGTGGGCAGGGTAATTACGAAGGACCAGGGGAGCCCCCTCCCCGCGGGTGGCGGGGATCCTGGTGGGTGAGACTAACAAGTTCTGGCAAGGAGTGACCGGGAGAGCTGTGCCCCACGGGCACTCTCAGCATCCTTCCTCAGGCTCCTCTCTCTCCAACCTTGAACACTAAGCAGTCTTTAGCTTGACTGTGCCTGACGCCGATTGTGTGTTAAGCATGCAGAGTACCGCCTGGTTAGAGCATCACGCCGCCCACTGAATGTCGTGGGTTCCATTCCGGCCAATAGCGCGCACCTGGGTGGCAGGTTCGATTCCCAGCCCCAGTAGGAGAGCAAGGGGATGGCAACCAATCGACGTGTCTCTCTCCCATCGATGTTTCTCTCTCCCTCCTTTCAACTCTCTCTAAAAATCAATGGAAAAAATATCCTGGGATGAAGATTAACAACAACAAGAAAACATTAAAAAAAAAAAAAAAAGCCGAGTATTGAGGTCCCACTCCCAGAGAGGCCATCAGTAGGATGCATTTTAACCGGCATTATTGGAGATTCAGCTACGCGGGTCCACGGGCCAGTGGACGGCTCCTTTCCTCCCAGCACAGTTGAGGTGACTATTCTGGGACGCCATGCCAGTCGTTTTGAGGGGATGAAAGGAGGAGGCTCACGGAGCCTAGGATCTTAAGCGAAGACTGGGTTTGGGGTGTTATCCGCAGGAGCAGGGCGCACTACTGACGCTAGCCTGCAGGGGGCAACAGCCGGCAGCCTTCTGGCTTGCTCACCGCCCTTCCCCGCCCGCTCCCCACGTGAGAAGAGGCTGGAACCCGAAGAATGCGTTCCCGCCCCGAGGCTGACGTGTGCGTCGTAGCCGGCCGGACTCATAAAAGCCCCGGCGGAGCGCTGGGCATCCCAGCCGAGCCGGAGAGGAGGCGAGCGGGAGGGAACCGCGACTGTCACTGCTCTCGGAGCATCCCGGGGACCTCCTGAGTGGACGAGCCCAGCCCTGTGGAAGCTGCGGGTGCACCCTCCGGCCCCCGCCCCTTTCGAAGCGCTTGTGGAGCTTCACGCCCCGGGCGAGCGTTCGTCATTTAGCACAAAGCACGTTTCCAAAAAGCAGCGCCAGGGAGAGCGCCTGGGCCGCGCTCCCGCGCACAAACTCCCTCTTTTCCTTTGTTTCTGGGGGTCGACACGCGGCTCTCTTCCCCAAGTCTGAATTCTTCGCTAGGGGAGGGCTGCCGAGCCTAGGCTGCGAAGATGCCCCTGGAGCTGACTCAGAGCCGGGTGCAGAAGATCTGGATCCCGGTCGACCACCGTCCCTCGCTGCCTAGATGTGAGTGCAGATGTGCGCAAGGGCTGGACTGCAGGGGCTGGGCTGCCGGGGAGCGGCGCGCCGCGTGGAGCGCAAAGCCATTGTAAGGTGGGCGCTGGCGGGGCGCTTTTGTACCGAGACCTTACCTCTCGCGCGCTCACTCGGGGCTGGCACCTCCCTCTACCGCTGTGTCGGCTGGCTGGGGCCCGGCGCCGTCCGTTCCTCCGCGGAGCGCGGGGCGGAG